TGCCAAATCAAGTCCTCGGTGACCTGAATTTCGACCTGCCGAAATGAATGAGTCTTTGTCAGAACTTGGTCGTCCATCGAAACCGGATGAGCGCTAGGAGGCTTGTTGTTACTCAAGGTAGTTGACAACACTGGCCTACAATGGCAACAGATAGCTCGGACTCCATTGGATTATCTCGTATCTCCTTGGATTTCCTTGAAACTCCAGAGATCCGAGGCAATCTCTAAGCTAGGAAACCCTAGATATTTATTGAATATGTTAAAGGGTTATTTAGATGAGATGACTCTCATGGTAGAATAAAAGACATGAAGGAAGTGTCCCAGGGGTTCATCCTAGAGCCATTCGTTCGGATCGTGTTCTACTGTGGGGTTCTCCGACAGCACATGCTGCCTAGAATTGACCGTAGGATATGCTGACGATCTGGCGATGAAAGTGACTGTCAAGCTCAGAGATACTCTAGAAGCTCCTGGTAAACAGGGTGTAGTAACACATTTGCTGTTAGATTAGGTCCGTATCGTCAGTCGTCCCTACAACTGTAGGGTGCGTTTATGGCCTCCTTGATGGTCATACTCTTTTCTTTCCTTCAGAAATTTCTAGATTACACTCGTCCCGTGTCAGCGTCAGTGCTCTCCTATTGTTAAGATATGTTTTCCTTTTAAATTGTAGGAAATTTCAGGCTGTTAAAACATGATATAACTCAAAAGCAAGCACAATTTGATGCAAATAGATGTTTGTGACATAACCTCAAAATAGAGCTCTGACACGTATGGTCATTTTCACGAGAATCCTATACGTCTGCTGAGGTGAACAGCTGATCAGCAGCACATCTTTGTATGAGAGCCTGTAATGTTGACAATAATGGATCGGGTGTGAATCGGGTAAAACTCAGCATCGTATTCAGAACTGTTTATACCAAACATAGTCCAAAACTGTTTATATTATTTTATTCATAGGATACTGTGTGCGACGGTACTTTTTTGTTATTAAGAGCGATATTAGGAATATGACATATGACGTACAAAATACGATAATAAAATACGACTCTGATAAGTAATAGATAATCAGTTTTTATTTGCTGTGACGTTTGACGTAATGGATACTGACGAATGCAGCGCTGGCGGTGGCTGGTATCCCACCTATTGATTTGCTGTCTGAGAAGTGATGCTCACTCTATAAGAAAGACCAGAAGCCAGAGACGAGGAGGGATGGGATTCATCTGGTCATTGCGCATGGACTGGAAGGCTGATTCTGGGTATTAAAACTTGGGCTAACAAGGGACCGGTGTGGATAGATTACTCCGCTCACACTCCTGGAATAAAACGACAACACGGCAATAATAATAAAAAAGCAATCTTCCCAACATAATTTTATGATAAAGCAAGAAGGTCACCTGCCAGATCTCACATCTGCATCTGTTCTTGTGTTTCTTGGCGCCAATGCAACATGAAGAAACATACTTTAATTTGAATATAATACACTAAAATGGATGTATTGCGGTTGATTCGACCATCTTCACAGTAAGGCTGTCACCTTATTCTCAAAACATAGTGGTCACATACAAAATGGAACCCTGAAATGTTGACTGCTAGTATACATTATGCATGTATTGTGTACAGATGTATTGAAGCTTTGAGCCGCCGGTTCAAGACGCAATGCATTTTTTAGCATTCAAAGATACTATCGCTTATCCGCGATACTCCACATACACAAGGAGATACGGAGTTTCGCTACGCATTTTGGGTACCGCTGCTGTCAACCGAAAAGCCGAAACCGGCTGTCGCTAACCATGGGCGCAGATGGATAGAGAATAGGAAGGATCTTTGGGCTAAGGTCTGTACTTTAGAAAAAATATTGCTGGACCAGGTTTACGATTACATCTTGGATTAAGAAAATGCAGGTCTTTTGATGTGTTGCTAGTAACGTTTTATTATACAGGGTCTTCATTTTCTGAAATATAAAGACCTACTGATCTGCACTTGTAATGAGGGATGGAACACAAAAAATAGCAATATTTAATATTTGTCACGTAACTGCAGCTATAACACTGCAATTATTCGTGTCATGTTAGTATTACGCAACTGTTACAGCTAGAGTACTAATTTTTTTTTTAATTTCCATATTGTCTTCCTGTCTACTTATTTTTTCGGTTCGTGGGTTAGTAAACAGGGTGGTCAAAAACGTTAAATGTTACGATATCTCATAATTTCCAAGGAATACCCAGTATGTTTTCATATTCTTTGAGTCCCCTTTATAAACTATCAAAAAAACTGAGAAAGTTGGTAGATATGAAGAAAATATCCTATGATCATAAATGCTTTTGTAACGGAAAATTTAGTACTCTAGCTATAACAGTTGGCAAGATGCGAGTTGTCAAAGTTAACAACTTGAGAACAAGGGTAGTGTGTTATATCAAATTGCTTTATTTGAAAGGACATGTCTAAATCTGCAATAAAATGTAGGTCTTTCTATTAAAAAAAGTGACGTAGTTATGAATCACCGGAGATAAAAATATCTTCCAAGTAACGAGCCCTCACCAAAAACACATTTGATCTCTCCTTATGCAGCTTTTGATATGTAACGTGAGGGATATTTTGTACAGTTACTCGATTATTACTCTTCAGTTGCTCTAAACAGCTTGGTGTTGGCGTGGGCCTTATTTTGTAACAACTTCCCAGTACACCAGATTTAAAAGCCCTACTGGGCAGCTGTAACATTTCGGGATGCTGTTCAAAATAGTTTCTCCTGAAGCTTGTCGAAATTCACCATTTTGATTACATAACTTCCAACTTTCAATGAAAGATTAAGACAAAAGGTTGTACGTCTTTCAAGACTTGTTGCTACACATTACAATAATTTTACTTCCTACGCCAGTGGACGAGGAAGTAGATATGACATGTACAAAAAACCATGTCACCAACTACCATCGTTCTGTGTGTCCGCTAATCATTGGACCGCCTATAACTTTAGTACCGGTAGGATTTGGATGAAGTTTTTGGAAAAAGTCACTACTATGAAAAGGGCAACATTTCAAAAATAAAAACGCTCAAACTTCGTTTTTTGACGCTTCGGAGGCTTATGATAATTTTCACAATAAAATTTGTAGGAGTTGAGATTCGGGGATAGTAGGATCTGGGGGTGGGTAAATGAAATTTCTTGATGTTAATATATTTATGCTGTTACGTACATATCGGTGGGCTAATAAGCACTTCAGGTACTTCCAAATGGATAAAAAATGTACCTCCACCGTACTTGTGCTTGCTGCAAAGGGATGTTCAAGCAATAACCCGCAAGTAGTCACAAATAAAGACTGTACTGAATATAACAGTATAACTACTTTAGTTGGCACTGTTTGTAAGCTACCGAGCTGGCGCGTAAGGACTTATACGGTGCTCAATCGTGACAATACCCTGATTTATACGCTCCCAACCCCAGTAATTCTATGCACCTAGTAGTAAAAACTTGGAATGTTAGAGATATGTGATACATTTAATTTCTCTGTTGTAAATGTTTGTAATTCGCTATTCTTTCAGATGATCTAAATTGCACTGGACTTAATCCTCATTTCGCAGCAAGTGCATATTCAATCTACTTGATGCCATTTTTTTATTTTGGCATGTGTATTTGGGACTATAAGCGCGCCCATGAGAGTGATTGCCATTTCCTTCGTCGTCGGTCGCGTTGTCTTTCGCATCGTCTTTCGAATACAATGGGCAATGGTTCCTGCGTTTAGCATACCCCCGAAACAGTCTGAGCTGTCGTCGGTCCTCGTCTGGAGAAATAATTGCCCCCTTTCACCGGGCATGTCCCCCTCGTTTGCCTAAATGCTAATACAGGCCTGCTACTGGCTCCACAATACCCCAATGGCGGCCTTTTCGCTCCAAACAAAAAACTAACATGCTATTTATTGCACACATATTGAATTTAATTAGCAGGAGGACATATGAATGCCTTTTTTGGTTGTTTATTTGGTAATTTTGGACAAGGCAGATGGCACATGTCGTCTGGAGGCTTAATGCTGGTACACAGACCAGCAGAGTTTAAAATCGGATCACTTAGGCGATGAGTTTGGAGATAACACGTTTTGAATAGAGCAAAAATGATACTTTCTTAACTTTCTGTTTTTTTCTTTCGATCAGGCAGAAGGCCACTCAACAAAAAGTGCATTTGTTTTCAAAAAATAGATGATAAATCATGCATCCTACAACACATCAAGAATGCCCATTCTCGTATTCCATTGTAATGAACTAACAAAATTCGGCACACAGGGATAATTTGAGATGCTGATTTCGGATATGATCATGAAATAAATAACTTCAAGTAAGCTCACTCTGCACTTAGCACGCAACGCTGTCAACAGATCATAAAGAATTATTTTTGGCATGAAACAGCTCCTCTGAGAAAAAAAGCTAGACAGGAACATATACAAAAAAGAATCAAATAGATCAAGTCAGTTAAAGAGGCATATTGCTCGTTACAGCCACCCATCGCAACCACGCATCACATCGGTCATTCATCGATGCAGGTATATTGTACATTCGTCGAGATGCGTGTCACGTGGGTCGCGTATATTCAATTATGAGGAAATATATAATGTATGCAGTATATCTGATAGGTGCTTCGAATTGCCGGGGTTGAAAGCGTATATAATATACGTCAATAAATTGAGACGTTTAACCGATTTTTATTTTTTTATTTTCCTGTCCATAGCTTCGCTGCCACTATACCGATTTTTAAAAACTACAAAGATTTTTGTTGTTGAAATAGATATAACCGTGTGTGAAAATTTCACCAAATTTCGTGTAGTACTTTCGAAGTCATTCATGGACCAAGGACTAACAGACAAACAGAGCGTCGGAAATTAGTGATACGTTTTTCGTGATGTAGATGCTAGCGCGGGAAGTAAGAATCGTTAAACATAGCAATGGAGTATTCCATAATATTCTGGTGTAAAGGACAGGTCAATGATTTTATTTACTAAAACAACGAATACCTTGTTGCAGGTCACCGAAGTCAAGTGAGGTACTCAATCTACTCAGGAGATCCAGATGGGTATTTCACTATCGACACGATAACGGGAGCTATAAGAACAGCGACAGCTCTGGATCATGAAACAAGAGCATCAGTTCTACTCAACATCCAGGCCTACAGTGGAGATCCACCAGTCTACGGACACACACAGGTAAGACCAGTCAAACTATATAGGTGTATATCACCTAGTATCCTAGGAGCGGTATCTATTTCTGATGTGGTTTGTCCATCGTCTTTTTGGTAGATAAAGTTAGACAACCTACCTACCTTACTTTCAATCTGAATATTCGAATCAATCATGTCTGATATGCTGGATAACCATACTGCTTTTATGTCAATCCACTCTCTACAACCTAAGATCAATCATGGCATTCGGTTCGATGTAACTTGAATCGTCTGCGCTTTGGCAGGAACATCTTTTTCGATATATCTCAGAAAGTCCGGCAGTAAGCCGGATTGAAAGAGAAAATTTAAACCTGGAAGAAAGTATGACTCTTCTAATATCTAGTTATTACTTATGAATCGATGGGACCCTGGACCTACAGACTTCAGACAAATAAGTTCCTTTATCCGAAGGGGTAAATCGACGAAACTTTAATAAAGGATCCGCCCAACTTTCTTTAAAACTCCTTCGAAATTTTTGAATCTCCTTAGATTTTCTTGGATGTTCTCCCTCATAGGAAAAAACTATTCATTTTTTTTAAATAACTCACATCATATCACCATATCACCATATGCAAGAATCATCAAACCTGCGTTTCCACTTCTTCTTATAAATAGAATCACACATCTCCCATGTCGCTTTTGGATGCATACCTGCTCTCTTTTTGCTGCGTCTTCGACAAAAACCGCAAGACGCCAATTCAGAGCCATAAAGTGGATGATCCAATTCTTGTATTCCAGGATCTTCAAAAAAATGTTGAGTAATCTGAGCGCGATGCGCCGATCTAGGTCCTGAATATTTCAATGCTGCAGTTGTGGCAAAAATCTTCTATTTACCAATTAGCTGTAACTGTCTTCTATCCAAGCACAATGTTTGCCATCAAACCTGCTTTTCTGAAAAAAGATTCAATTCTTTTTAGAATCAACCGCAACTTTTTGGCTTGAATCGTAGATCTTTATTTTCAAAGGCGCTTAGTTGAAATATCAAAAAGATACAGTCAACTCTCGTCATCAAGGACAATTGAATTTTGCGGTATTATTATCTCCAGATTCATTTTCTGTGCGTCAGTTGATGTGTGATGTACCCAAATTGGTACAAAGAACTAAGTAAAATCTCTCTATGACCTTTCTTGCATTTATTGTATGTCTAAAGCCTCCTTCAAAATCTAAAGATCTTAGCGGAAACCCACCTGATCCTAGGAGCCATATTGCAATGTCTCTTCATAAAATCCACATTTTACATATTTATTTAAAAAAATAAATCGAATTTTACCTTTGTTATAGGTTTACATCGAAATAGAAGACGTCAACGACAACCCACCACAGTACGAATCATCCACAGTCCGGATCTCAGTACCTGAAAACGTTGAAGTAGGGGCACCTCTCTACTCAGCTCATGTTACCGACCTGGACAGCGGTTCTAATGGAGTTGTGCGTTACAAGCTCACCAATAACCCTCAAGGGTTATTCAAGGTGGATTCCAAATCAGGAGATCTCACCTTATCAAGAAAGTTGGACTATGAAACAGCGCAACGGCATAATCTGGTCATCACTGCTACTGATGCTGGAACTCCAGCATTATCTGCTAACCTCACTGTGCTGGTTGAGGTCCAAGACATTAATGATAATGCTCCGGTATTTGAGAGGAAGGAGTATTCCTTGAGCGTGATTGAGTCTTTGCCAGTGAATTCGCAGGTAAGGTTCATATTCTTAGCATGTTTTTGAAGCAAGATTTGACAGGAACCTGAACAGGTACAAGCATAGTTTAAAGACGTAAAGCGTATTTGAGATATATATTTCGAAAACAAGAAATATAATAAGACAAATGGGGCCTTGGAAAGGAGCAGTTATCCTGGCTGAGAACTATCCGTTACCAAACTGGAGCTGAACGAGAACAGTATCAAAAGCAGCTTAAAGCAGGATTGATTTTTCTCTGGCTTATTGTCACATTTCATTAGTACATATAGCACTACAGTGATGATGATATAGAGTTATAACTATCTAAAAGTATCTATTATTATGTCTCAAATCGATGATATATGGCAATTAACTGCGTACGATCCATTCGTTTCGTCGTCTAACAAAACGCCTAGGAAATGTATACGGAATGTGTGAATTGTAATTGCGACTTATACATAATGCACGTTGCGCAGCGTCCAGTATTTCACGTCGTAAAAATGGCATATCTTCCATACGAAAACAAAACAGTGAACACAGAATCTTTGTCTATAAGGCCGTCCGAGCGCTTCACGGTCGAATTCACTGCTTGGCCAACCATAAATGCTTTTTCTCTGGCGAATTTATAAATTGCCAACATAAGTTAAGGCGTTTAAGATAGAGAGTATCTTGTTGAATTTATTAGATATAGCGGTGCACCTGTTGATATATTTACTTCTTGTTCATGTTGTATACATATACAGTAAGTTAACACAAGTATTACACAGCAGAGGTATCGTAAAGTGCCTAAATAGCACCATGTCTCTATTCCAATTGAGGTTTCCCGATAATTCAGTATTTTTTTACTCCAGTGCACCTAGTTTCTTTCACTTGGAAGTATGGAGAACGAAGTTCGGCAGTTCGCATTTAAACTTCAAAGTTTAGAGCATGCGTGCCCATAAGGGGGGCAAGGGGTGCATCTAGCCCCTGGCTTCCGCTTGAGAAGTTAAATGTTCTTGATATCTAGTAGTACCGGTTTTTTGGACAACGAATGGCGTATGTGTTTTCTTACTCCTCATCCCTACATAGAAATTATTTCTTTACCCACCACGTTTAAATTTTGCTAAATAGGCGCCCATGGCGTGATGGCATACTATTGACGGAGCAATTAAAAAATTTGTGTGTAATTGCAATATCGATAAAGATTTTTTTTTCAATTGAGCATGTAGCACCTGAGACGTCTCGTAAGGTCCATTTCTCGGCTCAAATAGGACTTAGAGAGACTTTAGGATTCGTTGACGGCTATATTGGGAATCAGCTCTCAAATTACACCAGTATAGTGACTCTCCTTTATTTGTAAACACGGGCAAAGAAAACGTAATTTTTGTCTGTATGTTAGAGGCCGAAATGTCCTAGCAAAGAATGGTTTTTAAACTTGAGATGCAGAATTCTGCTGAACGGTGCAAGACTGGTCTTACAGAATACGACCAACTGCGAGACAAGTCATTTTCAATAATTTAAAATACAAATTGTATTGTCCTTCCGAGAAGCTGTGGGGTTAAAAGGGACGTTGAATTTGCGTGTGTTTACAATAACTAAAAGCGCGTACTGCCGATAATCGTCTGTAGGTCATACAAGTTAATGAGCTAGAGCCTTTCTGACCTCAGACATTCTTCGTAAATCATACTTTCAAGGTCGTTGCGTTATACACATCCCGTCACTATTTAGAAACTATCACCACTGGTACAGGGTGAAATAGATATAATAAAGTGTGCCAACTTCAGGTTTGCGAAAAAAATCTCAAATAGTAGTAATAACACAAAGCATGGGTCACTTATTACTATTTCGTGCTATGACGATTGTGATCTTTGATCATTGAGGCTGCTACACGAATCATTTTTGTCCACGGATAGTGTGTCCTGTATATTGTTTTTTCTTGTTTTCGGTAAGCTTAACTTCACTTATTGAGTATCTCGAGTAGTATTTAGTTTCTGTCTTCATCGTCTATGAGATTTATCTACTCTACGGTGAGTCCGCATTTCAAAGGGCTTGCTTTTTCATATAGAGCGCATTTAGAGCCCACACTGGATCGATTTTCAAAAACTAATAAGTTTTTCGTCCTTGGTATGATACTAATACTGTATCACAGTTTCATCAAAATCCTAGCGGTACAATCAAACCTACAGAGGGGTCAAGCATTATCGGACAGCCAGTCAGACATACCGACAGAGGGACCGACGGAAATGAGCTAGCTAACATCCAAAGAGCATGATAATTGAATTTAGACATTTTTCCCAAATAGGATACATCCTCACAAATTGGCATCTGGAATAAAACTGGCTAGAACAAAAATTAATCAAACCGCCTGGATCTTCCTGTTTAGCAGGAATCGTACCAGCAGTAAGATAAGTACCAAGAGATACCCCGGTGTAGTGCCTTATGGTATTTGCATAGTACAGTATTGAAATCGAACAAAACAAACAATAGCCATTGTTCTCCAACGCCTTTCCTTATTCAAGATGCCATTTTTTCCTTATTGTTATATTTCAAAGTACAAATTAAACGTTTCAAAAATAAGGAATTTCTGCTTTTCTGCAAACTGCGTCCTGCCTCCTTCCAGGCCTGCATTTGGACATTTTTTACACAGCACCGGACTAGGGCGTATTCCTTATAATTATAGTTTAACTACAAATTAAATGTTTAAAAAATGAGATATTTCTGAATTCCTGCAAATTGTGTTATGCTCTCCTTTTTGCATAAGCGGTTGTGCTAGAGAGTTTTCCTTATTGTCAATGCTATTGTCGTATTGTTATATTTTGAAATTCAAATTAAACATGTCAAAAAGAAGGAATATCTGCTTCTCTGCGTCTTGCCTAGTTCAGGTCATGTATCTGATGCCGTTTCAGAGATTTTAAACTCGTAAGGGAGTGACTGTGAACATACCACATTCAGGATAAAAGTCGGAAAAACCGCAGAATATATAGGATGTACCAATAGCGACTATGAGCATTTTTCAAAAAATTGAGTCATATTGCCCGTTTGTCATCTAGAAATGCTGATATCAGCATAGATTGATTGACCATGAGGTAACGCATCAAAACTGTACAAAAGTACTGGTCTCTTCGCATTTTTCGCGTATAATTGTTGCAAAACCTGTTCCAAGTTGTTGGTGGAAATTATTTTACAAGGTTATTGAAAAATTCAGTCAAGGGGTGCTCATTTGTAGTATCAGCTGGGAAAAGGAAAAAATACTCACTCAGTCACCGTTTTAGAACAGTAATAGTTGCTTTCGAGACACCAATGCTAGCAAAGACACGAAATCCTTCCTAGTTTCTCCGCAAACCTCACATTCCCGTCTTCAGTGGAAATAAATAGAATATTGTATGTATAGCCAAATAAAAAAAATAATCGTTTTTTCTCATTCCAGCTTTATAATGACAAATTTCGACGCCTGTTTGTGCAGATAAAGGTAGATGGGACTATTAATTGTAGCAATTTTTTAAACTCTAAAGCTTTCTGAGTATCTTACAAATATCATGCTTGAAAATACCAACATTTGCATATAAACTATGTAAGTTCGATTCCAATTTAAATAATCTTCAAATTATGCACTTTTTCCAAAATATATCCGCTTGTCCATCGATTTGCTATATCCCCATAAAATTCGTCCCTGTCTACCGCAAGCTACATAAACAGTATTGTGAGTAACGTACGGGCTATAGAAAAAGAATTTAACTTATGTTAAGAGTTCGTTGACGTTTCTCCTGGCGTAAAAAGAAGTTCTTTCGCTGTAATTCTCTTTGAATTGCCAAATTTAATTCTGAATTACACACTGAGTCGAGAATTACGAAAATAGACAGGAACGCTATAAGGGCATTTAGCAGCGATTTTTGCGGATTCGAGTATTATCTTAAGCTGCGTGTTATGCTGTCAAAGACTGAAATATATCGATAAGGAATATTAGCGGACAAAACCCGTTCGAGAGGTTTTGATCGTATGCTGAGAAAATTGAATGGGATTAAACGTCCAGCAATCCGAGGTGGAAACAGATGCTAAATACCTAGGAGCAATCTTAGATAAGTCACTTAACTGAAAATCGCATCTGGATGTAGCTCTTATGAAGGTAAAGATCATTTAGTGGAACTTCAGAAAGGACTGTGGAAAATAGGGAAAGTCTAAAAAAATGTTTTGACTTTATACCACGGGCATCAGTCTTATGTAGCCTATGGATCTGTAACTTTGTGTGGCAAAGCAGAGCAACGTACTGTCCTCGCTAAACCAAGCGCACTACAGAGAAAAGCTCGCATGTTGATTACTGGGACTTTTCGTACCACACAGAATAGACAAGTAAATGGATTGAAGAAAAATATGTGAGCGAATAATTATACAAAATGCTGAATAAATCTTCAACAAACAAACAAACCAGTTGCGATTTTGGAGGTTTTCCTTAACCTACCTGCCCCTTGAACATATACCCTGAAGGCGAGGCGGCAACAAGGATAAGGCGAATAATATAATGAACAATATCACTATGGACGAAACGTATATGTTGGTGGACATACAACACTACCCCAGTCTGGGGATGCCTTCTGATATAATGCCAAAGATAACAAGAAGTGCTGAACCTTTTTTACTGACAATTCCTCGGAGAAACCTGACCTATTAAGGAAAGATATCAGTGCATACAAAGGTAACTCCAGGACCGACGTCGGTGTCTTCGTACCGAATATGAAAATGGAGCAATCAGTCAGCCTAAGAACCTGGGCATCGATTTTCCAGACAGAGCTATACGAGTACGCTATAGAACTGTGTGCCAGAATGATCGCATAACAGGACTATACACATTTTTTCAGATGGTCAAGCCGCGCTCCAATCTCTTGACTCCGCATACTCAACATCGAAATTAGTGTGAATTGTATAGAAGATCTTGGTAACATAGGAGATGGAAATAAGGTCCGTCTCACATGGATACCAGGACTTACAGGTCTGAACGGTAACGAGACAGCCGACAACCTGGCAGAAGACGTTGATTGTAGATAGTGCATGGAGAGAGACGAAACGGTCAATCACGTTTTATGCAGATGCCCTACAATTACCAGAATGAGGTATAGTTGTCGTCACCGTTTTTGGTGGGTCAAAATAAGACTACCAGTTATCCCTTTATATATCTCCATCTCCCTCATACACACACATGCAACCTACACCTGTGTGTGAACGTTTGTTCGGTAATCTCAAAGACATACGTTTTTTAGTTGTGCGACTTCGACTTGAAAACTTTGTGGTTACGTATGAGTGCCCTTCAATCATATTTGTCAAAGTGACAACTTACTTGATGTGGGCATGCAATTTGGGCTGTCCTGTTATAAATCTTCAATATAAAATTGTACAATGCTCGTGCTAAATTCATTAGAGTATTTCCAGGAAGAGAATGAAAACAGCGGTCCCCTGTTCTGCGCTCAAGATCCACCGATGGTACGGAGACTCGATCTGTTTACTTATTTCATGTGACGTTGATGACGTAACCGCCAAGAACGGTGACTACAGCTATATCAATACACTTGGCGGTAGTACTCCAAGTGGAAGACCTGAAGTATATTTCTCCAAATAAATTGACAAAGGTCTGAATTACTGGGAGAAGTATGAATAGGTAGCCTAACCTAGTATGCTGCGGTTCTTAGCAAAGTTACTTAAATAAACGTTTTTATTTATGGAAATCAGAATATTGGTTAGCGATTTATTTTCATATTACACTTTGTTATGTATAGTCAACGCCAAACAAAGTGGCGTGCACGTCATCACGATAAAAATTATCCGACCTAATGCCTAGGTTTCTATCACAAACAATTGCTCTATTGCAGTTTCATATTAATGTGATATATAAATTGTAAAATGGTCATTACTCTCTTATTATGGTTAATAGTCATATAAACATTGTTATTAAAATATCACATAAGTTGCTTTCTGATAAATTTAGACGCATTATGCGAAATAAAATGTTTTGCAAACGCTCCAATCACTTATCGACATGTAAACGCACTAAACCGATTTCGCAGCGTTGACACATTGTCACCTTGAAACTTATTTAAACTGGGAACTGACATTTGTATTAATTTTGACACTGAATCAATTTGTGGCATTTCAAATCTTTATAAATCCTTTAGCCCCGCATACTGTAAATCAACAACTGTTTGTTTCAAAACAAAATTATTCATTTTACGAGTAGATAAAGGCAATTTTGGTATATAAAGATGCCCAAACAGTTAAATAGTCGGTGTAAGGAACTCGTGGCCTCGTTAATGCACTACTTTGAGCAAGAAAGGGACAACAACGGGCCTTTGTTGCCTTTAAATGCTGTTCAAGAGGTAGGTTACTAATAATTATATGTAATGTATATTAATAATAGTGAAATTTTATTTCATTTTTTGTAGCGTGTTGCTGTTGCTTTAAAAATTAGTTTAAGGACAGTTAGTCGTATTTCCGAGGGTGTGAAAAGTGATGCAAATTTAGAATCGCCCAAGAAAAAGCGGAGTTATATTAAACGTGTAACCAACACAGCGACATTGGATACAAGTGCCATTCGAGAAGTGATCTATAATATGTATCACAAAAGTAAGATCTTATTATAATAACTTATCAGAAATTTGCATTAATTTGTTAACTAAATTATAATGTCATATTACACATGGTTTCAGAAGAACAAGTTACGATACAAACTTTATGGTCTCGATTAAGAGATAGGGCATTATTTGATGGTAGTGCCACGTCTTTAAGGCGGTTGCTTAGAGATCTTGGATTTAAGTGGCTTAAGGACAATCCGCGACGAGGGCTCATGGAACTACCAAGTATAGCTTTGAAAAGGGTGGAATTTCTAAGGCAATACAATCAAGCCAAGGTTGAGGCCTTATACCAGTTTGTCTTCCTCGATGAAACTTGGATATTTCAAAATGGGACCATAGTCGCTCTTGGCAAAATGGAAACCAAAAATGCGTGAAAGCTATTAAAACAGATGGTAAAAGGTATGTACTTTTACACAATTTGCACTATAAAATTTAAAACTAATATATTTTAGATACATTATATTACATGCTGGAAATGAAAATGGGTTTATTGAGGGTAGTGAAGCGATATTTTCTTCGAAAACAAAAATGAGCGATTACCATGGAGAGATGAACCAGGACAATTTTTTGAAATGGTTTCAACATCAGTTATTAGAAAAATTGGAGAGTCCATCTGTGATTATACTGGATAACGCCCCTTATCACAGCATGATATTGAACAAAGTGCCCAACAATGCATGGACAAAAAAAAATATCCAAGACTGGTTGACAAATCAAAACATACCATTTTTAAACACAATGTTTAAAACAGAGCTATTGAGTATTGTTGCTCGGTACATAATGCTTCTTAATTATATATATTTTGGTCGACAGTTTATATTTCTTTTGTTTATTCCTATTCTTAAAATAACTGCTTTTTTAGAAACAAACCACCTAAAATATACGTGATTGATGAATTGGCGGAACAACATGGGCACAAAGTTCTTCGTCTGCCTCCTTACCATTGTATATTTAACCCTATTGAGTTAATTTGGGGCATAGCAAAAGGTTACTATAACAGACATATTGGTAGAGATGGTAACAGTGAAAAAGACTGTTTGGATATGTGGAACGAGGCTCTACAAACGGTTACCCCAGACATGTGGAAAAATAGTGTTCGACATACTGAGCAAGAAATTTTTAAATGGTATGAAAGAGAACGAATTTTTGATCGACCAGACATCGAACCTTTAATAATCAACTTTGAGAGTGATGAAGATTCAGATTCAGACAGCGCTGAAGAAAGAAACTCCGACTAACTTTATTGTACAGAAAAAGCTTACACCAGTAGCTTACCTAATTTTAGAATGCATTTTTCTGTATGAATTCTGTAAAATAAATACCATGCATAAAATTTGGAGGACCCCATTTGGATTTTTATTCAGTACCTTTAAGCTATCAATTAAATATGGTAGTTTCATAGTGTCATCTGATCAATAATTGTCATACTTAATGATTATGCAAGTACAGATCTATAATTTTATTATACTATTATTTTTGTTCTCATTTGAGGTTAATATTGCTTATAAACCTAGATATGTAAATAATAAATTTTATTATTTTACAAAAAGTTTGGCAACAATGTAAATTTTTCAACACACCCACCTTGATGACGTGCACGCCACTTTGTTTGGCGTTGACTATACGTTAGGTTGCACTGAGGCGAATTTTAGGTCTATACTACACCCCATAATCTCAACCCGAGGACCGCAATTTATTACAAACACCTTTGCACATAATAGCCAAATTTATAACTTCACCCATCTTCATTTCGCTTTACAACATATTGCCTATTGGCATAGAATCAGTCCCTCCGAATGGTTCAACAAGAAAGAAATACTGAACTGCTTCTAACTAAACCATATTATAGCTTTAGACAGTTTTTGGATGACACCCTTTAACCTTAGCTGATCTTTCCTTTTTTCTTCTCTAATATGTTTGTAATTCTTTCCTATGTCTTATGTCCGTTTATATTGTAAGACATTTGACGTATCTAAAAAAAATTGAACTTGTGTACAATGTGTTGTTATTTATATTTCACACTATATTCATCATTTATTTTACTTGCAACGTGCCAATGAACGCATTTGTATATAACTTCTTAAAATAAACAAACAATTGAAAATATCTGTTTCTTCTTTCTTCTAGATCCTCCAGTTGACAGCTATCGACGCAGATACAGGAAACAATGCCAGAATTACATACAAACTACTTCCATCCAATAATTCTGACGATTCTGATATAAAGGAAATCTTTGGTGTTTTCCCGAACAGCGGATGGCTCTATCTGAAAGGATCTCTGGATAGAGAAACTAGGTCTCAATACGTTCTACATGTAGCAGCTACAGATAATGGAACACCTTCTGAATCTGCGACCACCAAGGTATGTACAGAGTGAACGAATAAATGGAATATATACATATGCACTAATAATGTGCAATTTTTTGTCATAGTTGGTACTGACTGACTACTGACTGTCTTCAACTTATGGCCAATGAAGAATTTGACGAATATTCTCTCCACAGGTTTACATTGAGGTTCTGGATGCAAATGACAATGATCCTGTGTTCTTCAAGGACTCTTATGAATTCGTCATTGAAGAAAACCTTCCCCAAGGTTCTCATGCGGGAAAACTACAAGCCAGGGATGCTGATATTGGGGTCAATGCCATGATAAGATACAGTTTTGTTACCACCAATACTAGCTTCAACATCAATCCTGTAACAGGTAAGCTTTTAACTTGTCTTTTAATTGCTTGAAACTCCTTACGTCTAGAACCTTGACGTTCATGTAGACAGATTCTAGCGCTTCGAAGAAAATAAGCAAACCTATGCGGCACAGGACCAGAACGTCCGGAAAAACGATACAAATATACTTGCAAAGCATCAGCAGCATCTTGAAGATTCTCACCGTAAGCATCATATCCAAACGTTCGTTATTGCTAAAGGAATGTACGCATTTTCGGTTTCTTTTCAAATCCGATTGATGAACAAAAGGTTAACCTACACGGCCAGCTGCGCCTGGGTTGGATACTAGTCCACGTTGCATCTTTCTACCTAATCCTTTCTTGGACGCTAGCACGCATTTGATACCGTAGATCTTTTTGGAACAAACCGTATATCTTCAGACTTGTGTATGTGTTAATAAGAAAATTTGTTTATTTTTACAAAGAATACCTCAAATGCTTTAAGTGGTAGAAAGAATACCTGGAATAACTTTGCGTGATCGCCAGAAAATATTTTTTTTGTAAATTTGTAGTATGTTTATATTGCGACGCAAATCAACCGTCTTTGCAAAACATACCATTTAATTACTTATGTCCACATACATAGTTTGTGGTCATATTGCAATATTTGACTTCAGTCCTCTTGATTTCACATCTTTTTCAAAAAACCTCAATTTCTCACATCCACTTTAAAAGCATTTTTACGGATTATTTACAAAACCAAACAGCACTCAGGGTTCTTTCAAGGAAACATCACGATCGGTCACGTATTACTAAGACAAACATACGACGATTGTCGGCCTGTTAGAGCCTGTTTGTATTTCATTTACTTCGGAAGTATTTGGTATGAAGGCACTTACGGAACATTGTTTGTACAAGGGTACACGAATTTGCCATTAGTGGAGATTTTTTGTTGGAAACGAAGCTTACTTCTTATTGTTCCTTAACTGACGATATAGTTTCTGTGTATGTCTAACGTTTTAGTCACAAAAATGAGTCAGACGCAGTGACACTTTGCTTTCTGTCCAGATGGCTGCATATATTATCTCGTATCCATGCAACGTTTTGCGATAGGAGCTATCTTTTATAGCCACTCTCAGGCAGAAAAGCTCGAGAGTTTTTCCCTGTCGGCCTCCCTTGCCCGAAGTGTAAGAGCCTCTAAAAGCAGCAATACTTGTAGTATTTCTTCATAGTGGGTAGCGTTACGCTAGGCTTTCATACCAAAGATATTAGTCGTGTACATACATTCGTACATATGTACAATACATACATGTTCAGCCGAGTGAGTAGGAACCTACTGTTGGTTCCTGCACGTTGCTCAGCATGATTCGCCTCACTATTGGTTGGTATCAACCCATCTGCCCTCAGTTGTAAGCGTGGCGAAATTGTCAGCAGTGATCCTCTCGCCTTGCGTCATTTCCAGGTGTCTCTGGAGCGAACCCATCTCCCACATAATGGAATGTACGCAGTTCGCGTACTCTGTTTCCTACCCTCTCCAGGTAGCTGACAAAACAAACATGTGCTATGAGGAACTGTGCAGTAATCTATCCACCCCGCTCTCGTGTCAGTCCGATTTTGAATATCATGGATCAGTCTTCTAGTCCATGCACCATAGCTTTGGCGCCCTTCTTACAGAGCGCGGATCTCTCCTCAGCCAGCAAATCAATTGGCGAGATACCAGCCACCACCAAAGCATTGGTCAAGACCGTTCAGTGAATGCTGACCAATTTACTGGCCGCTGAGCATTAAATGCCTACATTTCCTTTTTCTCAAAGCCTTGTTATGGATAAGAGATCCGTACAACATGAAGAAGAGTGTTTTCAATTAAAGCTTCAATAAACTAAAAAACAAGACTTCACCAGGTATAAATGGTATATCTTAGTTTTTGGTTAATGAAATGATAGAACAAAGTGGAGCTTTCTATCCATCAAAATTTGGAAATGTCAAGGTACTAAGTTAAAGTGTGTGTAGGACAACACACTAAGAAAAATTGAAACTTAGGAAGGTGAACATCAACCAAAAGTAATCAAAACTAAATTAGCATATTTCTGAAAATATAATGAAATTGGTGACCTCATTAGTTCCTTATACGTTTGTTGTAGCTTCAGTATTGAAGATACCATATCTTAACTTGTATACCGATCTCCTGGAGCCATTGACTGTAAACATTTCCAGGAGAATCCTGATTTCTTCTTGAGTTCCCTTGGTTGGTGCCATAAGTACAGAATTGAGGTCTACTAGATTGGGTACTAGGAGCGACGTTCAATATGCCTTAAAAGATGCAGACATGGGCGCACGCAGGAGGGAGAAAGATTTCCAGTTAGACCTTGAAATTTGCAGATGCAGCATTAAGATTTGACTCCTCTTGAGAAAATTTGTTACCCCTCGCTCTTTGCGGCAGATACACTAGAGCTCTTCAAAAAGTTTTGGGAGCAGGTACACTTACACAAAAAGTTGTTTCTAGCCGACGATCTGCCCCCACGAGAAAAATTCTTGCGGATGCCAATTGCTGCAATGTCATCAGGGGCTTCGGTCGGACAGCTCCCGCTGAGAAAAAATCTAGACATAGTAAGGGGGTATCCTAGACAGTTGTACAGTGTCTACCGTTGTAGTTTCAAATTGTAAATGTGTTGTGAAATGGTATATAGTAATGGAGCAAATTTTATGTTGAGTTAGGTTTATATTTCTTTTCGCCCCACAAATGGCATCAGTATGGACGGTGCCTATGCAATCCTTCCAACAAATGGAAAACGACCATACCATATCAGTCGAAGAGTACAAACTTGTGGACTTGAGCGCCCAATTGAAACAAAAGAAGTATAAATCGAGCGCCGGCAAAACATTTGAATTATTCATGGAAAGTCGCAATACCATCGAAATTAAAAGTAAAAATCGAAAAGATGCTCTTGACCCTTGGTTGGAGAACAGCGAGACGGCCGAAAGCAGGCGACAGACGCAACATCCGTCCTACGTTGCCATATTTCAGACCCTGTCAGACCTACAATCCAACATTAGAACTAACAGTACAATAGCATTGAAGCTTGGTGTCGATACTTCACCTTGCCAAATACCTCAGCTCTAAGATATTGACAATTCGACATGTTTACATAGGAAATAAAATAACACGCCATCCTTCCCAGCACTTAAAGCAAATAGTGTTCCTATTTTATTTTCTTGAGAAACTTGTGCTACTAGTGTTCTAATAGTATTCTCAAGGTTTTTGTTTCATCTACAATTTGTATAATCATACCATCTAAAACTACATGCGTATTAATTGCTTTTTTGAAGAAGAAACCTTTTAAGAAAATCCGGACAGCAGAAGACTATCTACTTCTGTTTGCGAGCAGTCATTGTTCCGCCATATTCTAAGTCATCCAACGCCATATTAACCTTGTATGTGCCAATTTGCAGCATCAATTAGGAGCCAATTTGACGTCCCTTGGGCCATAGTTATTAGGGGTCATGTAGTGTTGTTACAAAAAAGACCTATATAATGTCAAAAAAATTGGTAAAACTTCAACTTGTACACTAGGTACGCACTAGTTTACCACTAGTTCACTCCGCGCCTACTACAAGGAGATATTTCATAGGAAACCTTCAATAATGTCATAAGAAAACTACATATCGTAAAAAATCGATAATATGTTACTTTTTAAGTTATGTAATACGGGTGCCGCGTCCTCGTTACATTAATTTTAAAATGAATTTGATTGTCTCCAGCATTTCATGATAGCGCCACCAAATCTACTGTTTGCTAATATTCAAAATGATGCATGTACATATTATCTGCTGTGATTATGTCACTTTTGAAATATTAATCCATTATTCATCATATTGTCACCTACAAGTCCTACTACATCGATATCCATGTCGAATGCAAATTTTTTCACCGCGTAATCCGCATACATTGTACATGTCTCCACAGTCTCCACCTACTGCATAAATACAACATCTGGGGCGTCAAAAAGTTTGTTCAATCGTGTTAGTGTATATGCAAAGGCAGTACAAAAATAGGATCAACAAAATGTCTATAACTTCTTAATAGCAGGCGAGCAGGTACGGTATCTCGATCTTTAGGATCTGCCGTCGCAACTCCTCTAACGCACATCATTAAAAAAACGTATACAACTGTTTAAAGTTTTCGTCTTTCGACTCAAGTACATTTTTGGGTTCTTCCTCAATTTGCAACTTTCTAGGCTGTCTAGCTATTTTACCCACACCTCGGCGTTCCTATGAACAACCTTTGTACGAGATGAGAAAACCTAGGTACGCGGCTCTGCATGGAAACATCCAGAAAAACAAACTGGATACACTCGTAAAGCATCAGTAGCCTCTTGATGACACCATAAGCTAACGTAAAATCTACAATAATTCTAGCTAATCCTTGCTGGATTTGATGTTTCAGATTTTTTCAGAACCTATTCACCTGCCTGACTGAAATAAAAGCATCTGTCTCCGGTGTTTCTTAACAACTAGTCACGTAATACGCTAAATACAAACTACCTTTGGTGGTCCGATGGGATTAAACAATGCAATTCCATCATTACTTCAAAAAAAGTCCTAAAGGTTTTACCGTAACAATTCTATCAAGAGCAAATTACCCGATTTTTAAATTATGTCTACTTGTATTCTATTCACTCGGTTCCCTGTCGCTGTTCCCCAGATGTACTGACACAAATTTAAAAGCCTTTGGTGGCGGCACCTTAAAACTTTTGGTATATATGTGTTACTAGGAGGATTTGGTCATATCAGAACTATACGATGCCTAACTTCAAGATCATCCTGTTTAAAAGGCACCTTTACTTCAAGAGTAGATTCTTGCATTGTTAGGAAGAGCAGTTGTGGAGATACATTTGGTGACCCATTTTGTTTACAGATTCTGGACAAAGTTACATCGGTTGTTCTTTAATACATACCAGATATTTTCGAACCTATCACTGAAACTGGTATAAATTGAGACAATTTTTTGGCATAATTTTCTACCATCAACGAATATGAGACA